TAATAATAATAATACCTAAGCATTGGGGTTCTCTAAGTGTACAAAACAAGCCCCACGATGCCACAACTCCATTTCCTTTTCTTACTCCTCCAACTACATAATGGAGTGTGTTCTGTTGCGCTTGAAACTGTGACACGTCGGTCGCCATGTTGGGYCCTTGTTCTGCTTCGCTGTGACGGGCAGCTTGTTTCCTTCGAGGATCCAAAATGGTGTTCTTGCACGCGAGGGTATCCGCCCATGCAGCGCGCGCCAATCAGAGGGCTCCTTCTATCCCGGATGCGTTTCCGTCTCGAGCGTCTACACAAGCTAAAGTCAAAGGCCGCTCGAAAACCGCTCGAATGGGTCGGCAGAGAGGATTAAAGCGAAACGAATATATGATATTTTGATGCTTTGCGTTTATCCAAGCAAGCCTACCGTTGCTTACACGGACATCTAAAGGTTTTGAGCTTCTGACGGAGATGAAATAGCAACGCTGTTAACGATTTCTGGTGGATATTTTAAGTCTTCTTTTCGTTGGACGGTTGTTTGTTGGTCTACACGGGTTTTTTTTTTTTAAACCAAGCTAGCGCTAGCCTCGACTGAGCTGCTCTTCTTAGCTGCTATGGTCGTCGCAAGCTTGTGCGGATGTCTCCGGAATTTATATTGAACCGACTGCAACAAATGGGACTATCCAGCATCAGTCGAAAACACTGCGGCATAGACTAAACATTACAGACTCGGATAAGAATRGGAGTTCGTGGGAATTTTAGAGGTAAGTTGCTGTTCCCCTGCATGCTAACATGTTAACAACAACAAAGTGCTGCTGCTCATGGGTAAGTCTTGTTATCATGGCAGAGGTCAACTTTCCAGACTCTTTATTTTCTGTTTTTGATATGCGATTATATGCGAAATATAAATATATTGTGTCATGGTTGTGTGTTTAAAAATTTGTTCGTTAAAAACGCACAATATTGTTTTCTTAAAATGTTGTTTTCCTTTGATTGAACTGAGCAAGTATTTTTATTTTGTGGAAATTTTGATCATTGTACCGAAACAGTGATTTACTTTTGCTACACCTTCACCTGTAGCAGTGCTTGATTGAATTTTGCAGCTATGGTCTGTTCGTATGTAAGTACAAATATAAGTAGGTAGTGCTGCATGGTACATTTGCGTGTTTTTACAGATTAAATCTGGGTGCAGAATCAATTATTGTACACCATTTCTTCTGTAGGTTTTAGGGGTGTGTTTTGCTCACATTTTACGGGCACTTCCATTTCCCAGACAATAATTACTATCACATTTCTCAGGGGAGGGCACTTAATAACATCCAAATGTTGACCTATTTTAAATGGCTGACTGGCAGTGCTCATTTGGCAGCAGATCTAAACACTGCTGGTGTATCTCCTTTTCCATTAGATGTGCTCTGTTTATATTTCGTGGCATGAAGGTTTCAAATTTGGTCGACTGTTCCAGAACTAAAAGCTACAAGTCTGTGGTCAAGTCTGGCAATAAATATGATCATCAAAACTAAAAAGAGCTGTTTTCTTATTTAGAAAATATGTTTAAATGTTTACATGCAATTATTTTGTACATGTTACGTAGGTGCCATGTTTTCTGTGTGCATTACATGAAAAATGAGAGGCTGACGGTGGTGGGATTTAGGATAAGCTTCATTAGAACTGGAATATGGAGGGGAAGCTTAGCACTTTGGTGCAGGGATGAGGAAAACACTGCAGTGCTGCTGGTGGTGTTTTCCAACAAGACACTGAGTGTGTTGTAGCTTGTAGAGGCGTTTAGGTTGACTACACTGCAGAGGCAGTGATGCGTATCTGTCTCCTTTCAGCTTGGTTACTGTTCTGGCTTGTTTTTTAAAGGTTTTAGATGGGTTTCAAAGATTCAGTGCTATTATTAGCCACTGCCCTACTCTGTTGCACTRAATCTTTGTGAAATGTGTGTAAAAATATCAGCTTTTTTCTTWTTASTGGTTTGTAAACAAATAGTCTTTATTACTCCCTGTGTCAATGTCCAGCTTTCCTGAACATGCCAGACATTTGTCATTATGTTACCAACACTGTCCTTTAGGAAAGTTTCATATATGTCTTATCATGAAGGCTAATGATTGCTGAGCTGTTTGACTTGATCAAACCCTGTGCCCCATCCTGTTCTTATTAGTGCTGGTGAGATTTTGCTCGTTCCCATAAGTGGTACCAGAGAATCACGGCACATTGTCRGTCTGCAACAGGAAATGGAGCTCTGCTGGGGTTAGAAAGGTCATTAGCCCAGGAAAGAGGGACTGTTTGGATTTCTATGAAACTGCTCTTCTGCTCGGCAGCAGATGTTATGTCTTATAACTCTGTACATTTCAGTATTTTAATGGTTTGCCTGCAGGGTCATCCTGAGTCCAAACAGTTTATCAACCTTCAAATTTTAGACACTACTTTTTGTTTTTCTACCTTAATCTAACCCAGAGTTTCCCAAAGTTGGGGTCGGGACCCAAAGTGGGGTCCCGAAACATCAAGATGGGGTCCTGAAAAGATTTTCTGAATTAATTTCATTTTTGCCTTAGTTGCTACAAAGGAGTGAGGTTAGAATATTTAAAATGGATAAATGTAGTATAAAAATATTGTTACTATGCCCATGTTTTGCTGACCTGATCCAAATGTTTATCATCCAAAAATAGTTGGGGGCACAGGTCTCTGCTACTGTTATTTTGTGGGTCAAAAGCTGAAAAGTTTGGGAACCAGTGCACTTTGGTTCCCAAAGTTGGGCTTGGGACCCAATTATGGGTCATGAAGCACCTTGGGATAATCTCCAGAAATCAATTTAAAGGGTAATAAAATAATTGCTGATGTAATATTTTCCCTATAATTATGACAAAAACACAAAATAAGTATAAATAAGTATTTATATTTGTGTACAAGCTGTTTWGATTGTCAAAAAGCCTGTGTTTTAGGGTTATTAATGAAGTTTGTGTACTCAGACCAGTAATATTGGGGGTCACAAGTTTTTGCCATGGATATTTTGTGGGTCAGAAGATAAAAAGTTTGGGAACCACTGATCTAACCTATATCTTTGTAGTTGTTCTTATGGTATTGTCWGTTAAAACTTGAATGTGGCTCAGCATAAAGTGATGTGTCATGGTGAACGCGTAACGGCAAAACCAACTGAACGTGACTGTCTTGTTTTTGTTGTACCAGCTGAAGAGTAGCTTTTGCAGAACACAATTAAATCATTTGTATAATCAGGTCAAAGACTGTCAAAATCAATGAACAATTCAGTTTGCATGTAAAGTAATAAGAGCTCTGAGCCAAAATAAACAACAGAAACTTGCCATGAAAACAACAAAGGCTATGTGTTATTTAATATGGGAACTGTTTGCTAAAACAAACTGTACTGGTTGCACAGTAAATATCATATTTCCACATGGAAATATTTACTAACATGGTTCACTGTGTTGAGTTAAGTAACGGGCATATTAAATTCATTTGCTCAGTTTTTCACAGTAGGCATTAACCATTCTTTTTACCGTTCATTTCTATATACAATTAAATCAATCTAAAGTAGTTGGACTAGACCGGTGGCTCCCAAAGTTGGAGTTGGGACCCTATGATGTGAGGTCAAGTTTAGGGTCTTGTTTTTGTAAATAAATAACCACAGTCTAATGGTGGTTTTGGTCATTTGCTCTTATTTAATTGTCCTAATTGCAACGTTTGCATTCTTTAAGTTTCGGGCACTGTTATTTTGTGGTTTTGTTAGCTGAAATGTTTGTGAACCACTGGGCCAGTCTGATCTCTGGTTTTATTCCCATGTATAATTACTGTAAGTGAATGAATTTATTTGAATTTATTGGCTAAAGGACTCCAGACTTCGTGAGAATTGGTGACAAACAGAGCATTGATTGATACTAGGCTTTTTCCAGTTGATCTATTACCTCACAGACCAAAACCGATAATTTATCTGGTCCAAACTGTTACAGTGTTTACTGGTGAGTTCATCCTATATTTACACAAGTGCTGGATCTGCTAGTCCTTATATTTGTTGGCTTTTTTTTTACTTCTTCTGTTCCCTCTGGGTCAGAACCAGAGCAGCATGCTTAGAGCAGAATCTGGGACATTTTGAGCGCAGATGAACTTAGTGAAATGACTTGACTTCAAAACTGCATTATCCAAGCATGCTTGTCGGACTTTCATACTATTTTCTATAACTTAGATGTGATAATTGTCAGCACATATTTTAAAAGTCTGGTTTCAGTCAGAGTTAATGTCCTGTCAGCTGACACAAATATTGTTGTTCTGTCTTGGTGGCCATTAGATGTTAAATAATATCCATGTGGCGCTGACAGTATGCACTACTGTTAGCTATTTTATGGACCATTCAAAACTGTCCACTTGTGGTTCTGATGGAAGGAGAACCATTTCTGTAATTGCTCAGGATGGGGGATTGTGTCTTTAGTAAAACTTCAATTAAATCTGCTGGTTGCCTTAGTTTGACTAAAACATTTTTGTGATAAATCGTATCATAATTGGGTTAAACTGATTTTAACTGACTGGAATTTATGAGTTAGACTTCTTTGTYTGGCACTTTAAGAGGACTATAGTTGTGAATTGGAGCTGTATAAATAAACTGAATTGAAGTGAACTGGATAAACACGGAGTTGTGCTGGAATTAATAGAGAAAGGCCTTTAGCTACAAGTTCAGCACTCCCTCTGTCTACACWGGCTCTCCCCTCCCCCTTACATACTTGGAGTGTGGTCCTTTTAGGTAAACAAGCATGGCTACTCCTATTTCTTGCTTCTCTCCGTCTGTCTCTGCCTTAATGCGTCTAGGTTTCGCTTGTCCCCCATGTTCAAGTTGTGTAAATCTTTTATGGCTGCTGTTCTAGCAGCACAATCTCAGCGGATCCTCAAATGGCATCTGAAGCTTTTTRTGAAATTCAGCCTGGTCCTTTGCCCTCTTTTCTATCCTTGAAGAGAAATGGAACAAAATGGCGGGCCCAATCCTGCTGTTTCCCTCGGGGACTGCAGAGCTTCATTCTGAGGTTTAGGAGGTCCTGGTGGTTGATGATGTCTAAAACTCYTGTTAGGATCTGCTAGCTTTCCACTGCACTGTTCTGTTTTCTTTTTCCAGAATGGCTTGCACCTTTAAGGGGAATCATTCGACTCCACAGTGCCGTTTACAAATGTATAGCTTTTAATCTCAATCCTCACATTCACGTTGTTTTTATTCATGGTATTTTTGTCATGCTAACAAATACACGACTTGTATAAATCAAGATTATGCTCCTATCATTTTTGTACAGACCCAAAACAAGCAGCTAACATGTGATTAATTTACCTCTTGTTGACAAATTTGCATGGGGCTGCATTCTGAGATGTGTCTCAGATACATAGCAAAGAAAATTAGCAATGGCAAAGTTGACAAGTTTTGCTTTGCTTTAGTAGTTTATGAGTGGTAATGGCTGGTTTATACTTGAAGTCACACGTCATTCACACCCTGCAGAGTCACAAAACATTGTGTGACTTCCSTGTGCGTTGCCCCCGGTCAGAAGTCTGAGCTGCGGGCCTTGCAGCTCTCAGTGTGGGGTTGGTCAGAACTTCGTGGGCGTGTTTGTTCAAGTGGAGCAGAGCAGCCCTGTGCAGCGATACTCCGATGATCCGTTCTCTGAACCCGGTTGTTAAATTAGCAAYATGCACAGCTTTGACGAGCAGCTGGTGTGATTCTATTGACCACGTGAATGTGCAACTGATGTTTACTTGTTCGGCTCTGCCGTTA